TTTGAAATCAACTTAAAGCTTAATAAAAAAAATGCTAATAATTCTTTGTTTTATCCTAATTTTTAGCCTTTTTTTGGGTTGGGGTTGGAAGCATATTGTTAGTAATATTCAATACCTTACTTGTGGAACAAGCACTCAATGCAGTTGTGTTTTGTGCAGTTTCATCCGATTGTTGTACATATTCAAATTTTGGATGTATAAATACTAAATATATGTCAAGTATTTTATTTATATACATCACGTTTACACAAATACTGTAATGTAATCTTACACCAAGTAGTTTAAATGATACGAAAGACATAACAATCAGATCGAATCGTATGGAACCCAAGCCCTTTCCATTATTTGTATGATCATTTTTAACCCATCATACATTGCCACCCCTATACCAAAACCCATAAAAAGCATTTTCTTGCTACAGTCCCATCCACCCCACACTCGCTCACAAGATATCAATGCATGGGATGGATTTAAGTCTCGTCAATCACGTAATCTAATTCTCTTCCTCTCTCAACCGAATCCCATTACTTCCAAGTCCCCAAGTCTGATCTCTTTAGTGCTAGCATCCATCAAATTCTTGCTATAGATAAAGGCAATTCAAATGATCAGATCCTTTCCCCGTCAAAATTTCCCCCTGAAAACAACAATGTCATTCCTAGGAAAAACAATTTCCTCTCTCGTCAACGACCCATTATTCTCCACCATCATCACTCTCTGCATTCTAATTTTCCTCTACTTCCCGACTCTTTTCCTCTCCATCATCTTCTCCCCGGTCCTAATTTCCACCTCAATTCTCTTACTTTCCCTTCTTCGACTGGGCGCAATCCAGAGAACCATAACCTCCCAAGAGGAAACTTTAAAGGAAAATGATCCCATTTCTGCGGAATTCAGTGTCACCCATGATGATGACCATCATGTTGATCGCGGATGGGTCTCCTCCAAATCCAAGGAAAGCTCCGAAAATGGATTGGGTTCAGACTTTTGCAACATGCCGACGTCGTTTCGTACTGATTCCTTCGTTGAGTGGGACGTCGGGGCGCCACTGGAGGTGATATATGAGGAGTATGAAGGTCAAGAAGACGATGAGGACGACGTTTTGGAGGGAAAAAGAGATGCCCAGATGGCCGTTATTGAGAGGTACGCATCCCTGTCGAAGTTTTACCCGGAAACCGACGATTCGGATAGCTCCTCGGATGAGGATTTTCCGGCGATCAGAGATTGGGACCCGCAGGAGAATATGTGTTTCCGGTGGGAAGGGGAGGATAGAGATGGGCTGATAGAGATCAAACTGGAAGGGAAGGGGTATAGTGATGGTGAAGAAGAGAATCTAATTGAGATCGATCTTTCTCCAGCGATGTGATGGGCTTCCCGGCGGAAAATCAAAAGGTTTTCCGATGAGGTTTAGATACAATTATTAACCTTGATCAACGCAAAATAGATACGACTTACGAGTAGTATAAGTAGGATTTAGAGGGTTTTGGGTAAATACTGTTGTATAAGATCATTGTTAAGAGTGCTTTACTGTTAACGAGGGGGCTGTGAATGACTAATATGCCCTTAGCTTTTTGAGAAATGAAAAGGGCTCTTCATCCTTCTTTCTTTGTTTTCCCTCTCCATCTTGGACCGCTAGATTAAAAATTAAAAAAAGCAGTGGGAGAGCAAAAGCCAAAAGGTTGTTTTGTAAAGTACTTTGCAAGTGAATGTATGGAGGCATGTGATATCCTAACAATAAGGCGTTGGCAATTGAATTGACATCCAAAAAGTTGCTGAAATTGGCACTCAACTCACCATCTGGATTTCTTTCTTTCCTTTTATCTTTTCGAGTCTTCTTCGTTCCTTCCTGATAATGTGATTGCTACCAACGCTGGAAAGTCAGGCAATGAGCCCCATATATCCCCACTTTCCTCTGCTTGGCTAAGAAAGCGTGGTATATTTCTACTTATGGCTTTCATTCTTTAGCAGATTGGAATATTTCACAGCTTTTTAAACCAAGAAATACAGAAAAGCAAACCAACTTTGATTGGTCTTGCAATAATGACATTCTTGAAAGTTTTACGGTAGTTCTTCGCTATAGAACATGATGATCTGCTGCACACTTGCGGGTGCTAACCAACCATTCGGGTTAAAACTGTGTGGGTCTTTGATTGATTTTAGATTATGGCAGAAACTCTTATCCATTTCTTGATGGCTTTGCCTCTTGATCTTTGTTGTACTTTAGTGATTGATTTGCATTAACATATCTTGATTGATTTTTTTTTTTTTTTTTGGGATTACCTCTAGCTGTGCGCATATTCTTGCAAAGGTGAGCATTATTGCTTTCTACAGTGTATTTTTTTTTTTGGAGAAAGGCGTCCATCATTGCCAGTCCCACTAACTTTCAGTTCTCTAATCAGATGCCTTGACCGTAGCCACGAATTAGAGCTCCATCAAAATTATGCCATTTTAATCAGTACTTCCTGTTCTTCTTGGTGCATGTGGGAGTTCAAATTCTACTGCAGTGAAAAAAAATTTAAGGATGGTGTCAAAGCACCTCTTTGATCTAATAAGGTTTGTGTATCTGACAATCTCTGACACAAGTTTTTTTAGGTTCTTCTTTATAGTTTAAAATAGAATAGATTATATAATAGTTATCGTTTTAAAAAAAAAAAAATAAGGACTTCCTATCTTATACCTGCGCTTTATACTCTTTCATATAACATTTACTGTTAAATAAAGGAGAAAAGACAGTAGTGAAGTGTGCTCCCAACAAGCACAAAAAAAAAAAAAAAAAAAGAAAAAAAAAGAGGAGAGATTGACTAAGGAATTTGCTAAAGTCTTTGTCCCCATCCTATCCCATCAGCCATGAAATATCCAAACGTAGCCCACTTAAATTGTCGAACAAAACATCGCCAAGAAGAAACCTTTATTCATGATGTTGAAGCTTTGATGGATTTATCATAGGGATTTCGACCTTAGTTGGCTCCATTAAATGACATAGATGTCTCTTATTGTATCGTCTTCTTTCTCATTAGGTAATCTTCTTTCTAGGTCTCTATTTTAGCTACAAGGAAATAGTAAAACCCGGATATTATTCTTCATTTTGCTAGTGGAAAATATCTCATTTTGTCTACTATCTCTTACCTTTGACTAGCTAACAACAAAATATCAATTATAGTAATGGGTTGTACTATCAAAATGGTGTAATTTTACCATCAAATTGAGGATAGACTTATTGGGCCTGGTTCAGTGGATGAGCCATGAGCGGTGTTATTGTTTCCGGCACTGGACACTTGGGCTCTATTTATTCGCATTGCGGCCGGAAATCATACTCGTGAAGGTGAAGTACTCATCCTCAATCTTCAACGTTCCAACTTCCAAACCACAAAAAAAAAAAAAAAAAAAATTAAAGTAACATTTTTATTCGCGTGCCCCAAACCCTCATAAAAAAATATAGTAAAGTTTGTGCGATTGATACGTGTTGATATATAGTAGTTTAATTTTTTCTTACTTTTCGTGTTAAAAAGGAACTTTAAATTTTGGCAATGAGGAAAATTCTTGAATAAAAATTTGAATTAACTTGCTCTACTGGATACTTAGTCCAAAAATGTGGGAGACGAGACGACAAACAAGCCTTCAACAGATTAATGAGTTTTCCATCCTTTCCTCCTCTTTAGCTGTCTGCCGCCATTGAACTTTTCCGCAAAGAAAGCAAAAGACAAGAGCAAACGAAACTTTCTTGAAATTTACAGGTCTGTAATCACTTAACGTTAAGGTGCAATGAAGTGCTAATTTTTTTTTCAAAAAAAAATAATTAATTAAAAAAATATGGTATAAATATAAGAGAGGACAATAATTATTAACGTATACACTCACATGATAAATTAATATAATCTAAGTGTATTAACGAGTATTCAATAAAAAAATTCATTTGAAAAACTCAAAATTTATTATTATCTGTACACATCTTAGCCGTCAGATCTCCGTTGACCAGTCGCCAATTCAAAGGGCGGCCTGACTCTAGCCTCTGCCACGAGATCTATTCTTTTTCCAACCCCCAAAAAAAAAAAAAATGCTTAAAATTTGTTCTTTTGCTGACTACAAAGTACAACAATGGAGGCACAATGTACGACGGCGGAAACAAATTGCATTATTCAACGCTTTGGCTGGGGCCCGTTAGGTCAAGTAAACGTAAAGGGAGGGCAATAATCTGCAGGACCTGAACGTGGTTGCCAAATGTGCAAAGACAAACGGACGACCACAAAGCACATGTGGCACATGACACTCGCACCCCCGTTCCGCTGCCGATTTACACGTGTCTGGTTCTTGGGCTCCAAGTCAGGCAATCAAAAATAATATAATATTTCAGAACTGTCGTACAGGTAAAGCTCCGTTTGGCTGGATTTATATCAGTTTGAGTCCTTTTTTGAGTGCGAGCAACTTAAGAAATTGGTTCATGTGCTGAATCTATTGATGTGTTTGGTTTTTACCTGTAAAACTCTTCACGCGAAATCCACAGTAACACGACAAGGTGCGTGAGAAATATTTTATTATTATAGGGAGACTCAGGATAAAAATATAGTTTAAAATAAAAATTTGCTTAAAAAAAAGAAAAAATATATAATTGGTAATAATTTTAATATAAATCAATATCTTGATCTAATCTTGATCTTGTCTTTCAAATTTAGATGTAATAAAATCTCTATCATGCAGGTTATAAATTTAGTCCTACTTTGTGACTTCAAATATCCATCATCTCTACACCTTATAATTCATCACATTAAAATGATGAAAAGTCATAAAATTTATGTAGTAAATTCTAGGTTTGGGTAGTATCATTTATAAAAACTTTTACTATTTCTGGCACACATTCAATTATCTTTTTCATATCACATAAGTTATATTATAAGAGAAAGAATACAAAGAAAGGAATCAGAAAAAAAAAGGAAATGAAATGCCAAACGGATCCTTCAGAGAAACATAAGGAAAAAATTAGGAGGGGAAAAACTGTAACTAGAATAGCAAAGAAAAAATTTTGAAAAAAAGGGGAAAAAAAAGCATGAATACAGCGGAGCACCGTAGAACTTTCTTCTTCTTCTTCAGCTGTCTTTTCCCATTTCCCAGCTCTTTGGAGTGTTAGGCATCTTTGGCTTTTCATTTTGGTTTCGTCGTCTTCACATGCTTTCCTCATTTCATTGGCTCTGTTAACTAAAACTCTTCTCAAACTCAACTAATTTCATTCACGTCACATAACCTTCCGTCAAAATCCTTTCAAGTAGGTAGCGCTTGCTTTCAAGTAGAGGAAAGAGAGATCGGCGAGAAGATCATCAAAATGCAAGGAATGGCGTTTTTGGAGAGATTTTCGAGAACCTTCCGTCAAAATCCTTCCACTTCTAAGTTGCTGCTGGTCGTCGCCCTCAGGTGTTTCATTCCTCCTTTTTTTTTTTTTTTTCCATTTTCCTTTCTGAATATTTTTTGGTTTATAATTCATGTAGTTTTGTTGTCTCTCTCTCTCTCTCTCTCTCTCTCTCTCTATTTTTTTTTTTTAAAGTTTTTACTTGTTATTCTTCGTTTTGGCTGTTGAGTTTGAGTTTCGCTCCTTTTTTTTGGGTTAAGATTTGTTTTAAGATTTCTGAATTTCTCCATGTTCATTTGAGTGTATAAGCGGCTAATGAAGTGAAAATGATGACGATAGGTGAATCATTTGATTCCTTGTGCTGTTTGACATTAATTTCTCCGTTTTAGCTGTTCTCTTTTCTAGGAGTAAGTGAATTAGGATTTGGAATTTCAGATGTACTCTGCTAGCGTGGAAAATTTGCTGTGGTCCTTAAGGAGCTAATAATGATTGTTAATTAGGTTCTTAAGTTGTGATTCTAGGCTACGAGAAAGTGGTTTTGCATTAATATTCGCTGTGATTGAGTCAAAATTTGGTGGTTGTCTATGTGGGCATCACAATAAGCAAAAGATTCACCCTTCTATGTACTTGATTGAACTAGTTGTTGATATGCAGGCTCGATCTTGGAAAATGAATAGATGTTTAACATCTACTGATGATGGTATAAAGCTGCCTTAGTTGTGTTGTTGTAGGCTCACGTTGAAACTAATGGTTCTTGCTTAGCTATTACGTGTTTACCAAAAAGTGAAAAAAGGAAAATTTCATTATTCTAAAAGTTGCTCCTAACTCATAAATCCACTATCCACCAATGTTAACGACACGTGAAAATCTATTCAGTTTTCTGATCCATTTCCCATAATTTTCATGTTCCTCTTTCCTATAGCTCCTTTCATGGGGGAACTACTCTACCGTGATTCACTGGATACTGTCTTAAACTCTATATCTCTTTAATTGTCAGTGGTGGAACCAGTGGCCTTGTTGCGTATTCTGATGCAACACCACAGAATAGTTCTAATATTGTTGATTCAGCTGAACCCGAGATTAAGAAAAAGAAGTGGTGGTACTAGGAACTGGTTGGGCTGGAACAAGCTTTTTGAAAAATCTGAAGGATCCTTCATATGATGTCCAGGTGATATCACCACGTAATTACTTTGCATTCACTCCTTTGCTGCCAAGTGTTACAAGTGGTACCGTGGAGCCTCGCAGCATTGTTGAACCAATTCGCAACATTATTAGGAAGGTAACTGTAGGGATTGATTAGACATTTGTTGGATGGTTGAGTTACTGCTGACTATTTGTTACGAGGATCTTCAAAGTTACTCTTATCAAGTGCTATTGGCTTCTGTTTAGGTTATTAAGTATTTCTTGTCCGTTTCTGGTGGTAGTGCATTTTTCCAAAATCTATCATGCAAAATTTTGTTGCAATGGCCAGAAGAGGAGTTCTTCAGTTCCAGAGTTTAATCATCCATTTTGTTCAGTCGTTAAAATCTTTCATGAAGTTATAGATGCAAAGATAAAATGCTTCTGTCTTCTATTGCAGAAAAAAGTAGATATACAGTATTCAGAAGCTGAATGTGTTAAGATTGATGCTGCAAATAAGAAAGTTTACTGCCAATCTAATGCAAATGCAAATCTGAATGGGAAAGAAGAATTTTTTGTCGACTTTGACTACCTTGTGATTGGCGTAGGAGCTCGTTCAAATACATTCAACATTCCTGGAGTGGTTGAAAATACTCTTTTCTTGAAGGTAACTTCCAAAAAGTCTACTTATATGTCCTTGGCAACTTGTTCTTGCTTGGAACTCAATCATCTTAATTAATGAGTTAAAATGGACCTAGTTGCACTGAACTCTTATTTTCCAAATCAATTCAACTATCTCAGTTTACTTTCTGGTGATCCATGAAATGCAAATGCATTAGTTCTTCTTCATGTGGATAATAGTTTTTTCTTTTTTCCCTGTTTGAGGGTATGATATTATACTGAATGGGTCTTCTATATGTGTAGAAGTACTCTGCTGACAGTTCCTTGTAAATGCTCACCTTGCAGGAGGTGGAAGATGCTCAGAAGATTCGTAAGAGCATCATTGACTGTTTTGAAAGAGCTGATCTGCCAAGTCTCAGTGATGAAGAGAGAAAGAAAATTCTTCATTTTGTCGTTGTTGGTGGTGGCCCAACAGGGGTGGAGTTTGCAGCACAACTCCATGATTTTTTGACTGAAGATTTAGCCAAATTGTACCCTGACATCAAGAATTTGGTCCGGATAACACTTCTTGAGGCGACAGATCATATTTTGAATATGTAATTTCTTCTCTGCACTTCCTTCTCTTTAGGATGTTTGATTCATACTGAAGAAAATAGTGTGGCAAGATTAGTGTAGAGGTTAACATGATAAAACTCAAAAGGCAGCCATGCGATATATTGGTTGACAATTTTAAGCTGAAACGCAAAGTTATGATAATGAAACTCTGCTTGACCGAATGTCCTTGAGTATCCTGTGAATATTGTTTCTATTCATTGGGACCTGTCATAGCTTCATATGCTGCCCTTGTTAATTCTGGCTGTAGCTATGTGTAATTCTTTCGTTCCATGCCTTAATTGCATCTGTGTATGCTACCTTCTTTTTGTCTCCTTAATTCATGGTCTATTATCTCTTTTAAAGTTTTTATTTGTGGATTATGCATTTTACTCTGTTGTTTGGAATACTGACTTTTACCTTTTGGTAATCAAATTTTTCTTTGCTCTTTAGAAAATCATATTCCTAGAATCAATAGTATTCTCATATTAAATTCGCAACTGTTGAATGTGCACTAATGCAAGATGAGCAACTGTTGACCTTATGGCCAGAAACACCCCAAGTAACGCTTGTATTACATAGAGCAACTGTACCACGTTGCTTTTGTAAGATTTATTAACATAAATCGTGTTGTCAACATCATTCCACGACATGCTGCAAGCTGTTTATGTCCCTCTACAGAGTTGTTCGTGTTTTGCCTAGATGATAATTGCTTTCATAGTAAGCCATCTCTGCTTGGAAGAATAGTACAGATCTGACTTCTAGGCATGTCTTGTTGTATCTTTTGGTGTTAATATAATAGAACTTTCTGATTTGTAGGTTTGACAAAAGAATCACAGCTTTTGCAGAAGAAAAATTTAAGAGAGAGGGGATTGATTTAAAGACGGGTCAATGGTTATCAATATATCTGACAAGGAAATTTCGACCAAGGAAATCAAAACAGGGGAGATATCATCAATGCCTTATGGAATGATCGTTTGGTCAACTGGGATTGGGACACGCCGTGTCATAATGGATTTTATGAAGCAAATTGGTCAGGTATATTCTTTATACACCAGTGTCCATATGATTGAGCTTTATTTTGCCAACTTTGTGCAGATCTATGCAGAATATTGGTGCCTAGACATAATTGGTTGATTATTACATCTGTGGATTAAGATCCATTTCATTGTTTACAGAGTAATAGACGTGTTTTAGCAACTGATGAGTGGCTGCGAGTCGAACGATGTGACAACATATATGCAGTAGGAGATTGCGCCACTATCAATCAACGCAAAGTCATGGTAAATCTTACATTCATCTAAACTTCAGAAAAAAAAAAAAACCCTTTTGTCCTAGTCTCTGGCACTGTTTTGGTGTCAACTTTAGTGGTTGACAAAACACCTAGAGTTTCTATTCTATAACCATCCATTTACATTCTCTTGCTGTTTAAAGTCATGTAGTCCCATTCTTATGTGAAGAGTTGACAAAGGAAGAAAACTAAGAAGCACACACTGAACCATGCACAACAAGAGAGCAGAGGAAAAATATTAATGTGCATCCACCCTTAGCAGCTGATTTCTGGTCTTGGCAGTAGTACCTGTTTCAGTTTTTGTAAAGCTTGAAACTCATTGTGCAGATATCTGTTGTGTATTTAAATGTCTTACCACGATTCTCCATAAATCATGACTGCAAAAGAAGTGTCTACATGCAGAACTGCCCACGTCTCACCTATTTTTAAAAGATAGATGAGAACTCTCTTAGTCTATTTGCTATCACTGTCTTTTGGTCAATTCATCAGGAGGATGTTGCAGCCATATTTCAAAAGCGGACAAGGACAACTCTGGTACTCTTACGGTCAAAGAATTTCAAGAAGTCCTTGATGACATATGTGAGAGATATCCTCAGCTGGAACTATATTTGAAAAATAAGCAGATGCATAGCCTAGTTGATCTTTTGAAAGATTCAAAAGGGGATGATGTAAAAGAATCGTTGAGGTGAACATTGAAGAATTTAAATCGGCTCTCTCCCAAGTTGATTCTCAGATGAAGAGTCTTCCTGCAACTGCCCAGGTTTGTTAACTATGATGTCCAAATTTGGTCAATCGTATCATGCGAGTTACAGGAAGCAATATTTTTTAGGATATTTTTACAGGTTGCATCTCAGCAAGGTGTCTATCTTGCAATTGTTTTAATCGGATGAAGGAGGTTGAGACAAATCCAGAAGGTCCTCTTAGGTTCAGGGGAGAAGGACGCCATCGTTTTCGCCCTTTCAGGTATCAAGGGAACCTTTAGTTAGATATCTTCTGTATCCCCACTCATTAACAGTTCCACTCTTCTGACACCTACTAATGCAATTTGGAGAATAAGATGAAGTTGGAGATTAAAAAATCTTCTTTTCGGATGCAATTTGAGAATGTTAGCTTGTTTGGAGGCAGTTTATTCTACCAGATGATAAGAGATTCTTAAGAAACACCATATGAGAATGAATACTTGGATCAGAAGAAAAAACTGTCTGTATAGAGTTGGCAAAGATAGAAATCTAATGAAAAGTTGCTGGGTTATTGCATGAGCAGCTTATAGTTTATCTTACTTGTGCAATGTACTTTGATGCTTGTTTCAGGTACCGGCATCTTGGACAATTTGCTCCTTTAGGAGGTGAACAAACAGCTGCCCAGCTTCCAGGAGATTGGGTTTCAATTGGGCACAGCAGCCAGTGGCTCTGGTACTCAGTTTATGCAAGGTTTGCTGCTCAATTCCCTCTTCATTTCACCTACTAAAAGTCCTTTGAACTTGCAAGATCTTGCAATTGATACATGTCCACATACTGTTATGCTTATGATTATTTGGTTACTACCGTTGAATTGTCAGCAAGCAAGTCAGTTGGCGTACAAGGGCATTGGTTGTATCAGATTGGATGAGGCGTTTCATTTTTGGCAGGGACTCCAGCAGCCTTTGAGGGAGCAAGGCTTCATTTTCTGCTTTCATTTACTCTACGGGCTTTGACGGAAATTTTGCTATTAATCATCTCAAATTTTTCTCCCAATTGTCTTGAGCAACTTGGTGTCAATTGTTTTGGAACAAAGGCATTAGAGATCACAATTTTGCAGCTAGTTTGGTGTTAAATCTAAATGTTGGTTTATAGGGATACACAATCTCCTGGTTTGTTACAAAAAGCAGGAAGGAACAAAAGGCAACAAAGCGGGTGTTTTTACCAATAGATATATTGACTACGCGGCGTTCTTGTTTCTGTTTAATTGTTTCATGCTTTTGCTTGCTTATTATACTCGATGCGTGCATGATGTGTTGCTTTCTCTTTTTTTTTTTTTTTTGGGGCTATTTGACTTTTAAGAGACTTGTAGATACATGTTGAGATTACCTGCCTGCAGGAGAATTCAAATGACCATAAACAATAAGATAAGAGAAGGCGCGATTATAGAATTGGGGCAAAAATGAAGCGAGTCATTCTCGTAAGTTAGCCTCAGCTTAGTGAAGGTGAAGGTTGTTAAAAGTCAAGACATCCGTTATCATAAATTTGTTCAAATTGCAACAATTGGATGGGAATGTCGTTCTACTCCAGAAACATTTCTTCCCCAGGGTATTAGTATCTATTGTTAAAGACTTGGATAATGTGGCTATTAAGCATTAAGTTAACCAACAAAAACAAAAAGTTTTTGTTCAATTCAATTCAGTTAATATATTGGCCTCTTGGGTTACACGCAATAGCACTAAATAAACAGAATAATATTATTCAATCAATTTATCCCGTATGTCAAATGGGGCTTCTATCTTGCCCCTACCACCTCTCCCCTCATCCCCACTAAAAGAAAAAACAATAATAATAATACTTCATAAATAAAAAATAAAAAAAAAAGCAAAATTCTGTGTACCTATTTTAGAACTTTTTGGGGTTTAGATCACGAAGAAATAGAGCTTTAATATATAATCATTGAGCAAAGTGTAGCTTTTATGACCAAATAGTGGACTGATTATCCATGTACATTTGGAATATCACGATAAAAAACGGAATATAAGGACAGATAGACTGCTTCTTTACCAAGATAGAGTAACAAGTGAAGATGGTGTGGTGTACAAGGAATATGAGGTGAGTTACATCTCCTGATGCATCAAAACATTTCACATAGAATTGGGGATGAGAAAATAATATAGTAACTAGTGCATGTTTGGCATTAAAACAAAAGCTTTGTTTCAGAAGCTTGTAGAGGTTCATCCGGAGAATTGGGTTGGCTACCATTAGCAAATGTCAAGTTGCCGAGTTGCTACAGTTTTTATTATCAAAAGATATTTGTAATTTTTTTCCCAAAAGAACAAAGAAACTGCTTGCCAAGTATGGAAGCAACAAACCAGGAGACAAGTGAGGTAACAAACTCTATCAATATGAGCTGAAAAACGGTGAGAATGAGGAGAGAGTGAATCCAACAATACCAATAGGAACTGATGTTAGTGAAAGTAGTAGCAATGCTATTGTTACAGCTGCTGCTGCAATTTTGCAATTCCCTTGCGAAAGAAGGTATGCTAATGGTGCATCCTCTTCATCCTCACGGGTGAGAGCCACCTCCTTCTTGCTCAAGGTTTATGACATAGTAAAGAACCCTGAGACAGATTCCATCATATCTGGAGTTCCAGTGGCACCAGCTTCATTGTGTGGGATCCTCATAGGTTTGCTGCTGAGGTTCTTGGAAAATACTTAGGCACAACAACTTTCGAGCTTCATTTGCCACTCAACACATACGTGAGTATCCTTCTTCAATCATACCTTGCTTTGTCTCCTGTTTTCTCATCTTCATGTAGACTTCTTTAATTATTTAATAATGTTTTGCCTAGTGTATGTGACTTTTGCGAATTGTTTCTTTTTGAAGTGGCACTTTTTACTGTTATATTAAGAGTTCTCACTCTTCTTATGTGCACTGTAGTCATAAGTTGCAAATCAAAGCAAGAAAACTTGAATACCAAATGAACTTGCCTACCAGTATTAGTATAGATGTATGTGAGGTATCATACTCTGCATATCTTATAAAATCTTCTCTTTGCTGTTGTCGTGTGATCTGATATCATGGTTCTTTCTTTGTCAATCTGTTTTTCCTTAGTGACATGGGATGAATACTTTTGAAATTAGAAAAGATTGAGACATAACTGATTGGTGCTGTTATAACATTTTAGGGGTTCAGAAAGATCAATTGGGATAGATTGGAATTCCAGAATGCATGGTTTCAAAAAGGGAAGAAGAGTTGGCTAAAGAAAATTAAGAGAAGAATTCAAGGAACTCAAAAAACATCTATATAAGCCATTAGAAACTGAAGGACAATTGAGTTTGTCTGAAAGCAAAAGAAATTTGAAAGTCTAATGCAAGAACATGATGCGTTGAAGGTGGAAATGATGAAGCTGAAAGACATGGAAGAAAATTTAGTGAAAGAAATAGAAATCCTTGAGAAACAAGCCCAGTGTATTACATCCAATCGACAAAATATGCTAAAGTATACGATCCATGAAGTTCTGATAAGAAAAAAAAGCTGCAGAAGCAATGATGCTGCAAATGAACAGGATCAGGTGGAAGACAAAGCATTGAGAGCTCAGTAGAGCTCCTGGATGAAGGGGGAACATCTCATGGAAGCCGGAAAAACTCTCCTAGGGCACAATCAGGTACGGGAAAGACTTTTTCAAATGTTGACTTGAGCACTACTGTTCAGGAGGAGGAGGATTGTACTGTTTCCATGGGAAAATTTTCTGATTTCTATATGCAGTATACTCATCGCTAGAGAAGCAGCTAATGGATGATATAACTGTAAGAATGTGCCTGAAGAAGAAAAAGCAAATCTTCAGCAAAAAGTCATCCTTTGGAGGATTTGATTGAAGGACCGGCAGATTGGAATGAGTTTGCTAAAGATAGGTAACAAAGCCAGGAGTTAGGAGATCAAAAGTTGATTTTATTGGTATTACCTGGACTTTTAATTACTTTTTCACAATTGAGATATCAATTTCTCTTAATCACATTTATTGCTATTCTATGTCAGGTACCTCATCATGGTGTTTCACTGGATTGCCATAGCTCTTGCAAAACCAGTTCAGGAGCAATTCCCTCTATGGATATCAGATGATATCCAACTTTTATTCTATCTTTCTTTTTTTTTTTCTTTTGTCCATCAGCCTATTTCAACTCATCACTACTGACTTTGTCAGATTTCTTGAGACCTGTATTACTTCAGTATGTTTTAAAGGTAAAAGATATCTTGATCAATTGAACTACATTTCTTTTAGTTTTTTGGATGCCTTGCTACTGCAAAGGTTTGAACACAACGACCTCTAAACATGGTTTCAAAGTGCCTTTTATTTGGAACAAATTTTCTTCCATTAGTCTGTTTACAATCTGGTCTAGGTTTTATTTTTCACCACAATAACACCAGTAAATGAAACCAAACTTTACTTCAAGTGTTAAAGCTACTAAGCTTGCACTTGTATCATATGGAAAAGAGAGATTGCACTATAGATGCATCACATATTCTCTTTGCGGAACTAAGTTGTTTTTAATTGAGAAATCCTCATGTTTCTATCTGCTGCTTTACTTGTTGTAAAAGCTCCCATTTGCAAACAAGGAAATGTTCCAAATGCAAGGTTTGTTCCCCACTATAGTAAACATTCTGAAACAAGATTTTCTGGGAAATGGGCCAAATTCTTAAGTTAACTGTGATTATCTCTCATTATCAATTAGGAATGGAGGTAATCACTAAACGGATGAATGATTTTATCTCTTTTCCTATACAGAAATGGTTGTTAATCTTTCACAGTTTTTTCTGTCACACTAACAGAATTGTACTCATTTGCCAAAACAAATAACAGGAGTTTCACATATCATCATTCCTCCTTGTCTTAATTGCAATCGATGTGCCTTGGATTATGAAAAAGACAACCAATTCATCCTTAAAACTAAATAATGACTAGATGGATCAAAATTCATACCATATGTCTCTTTCTTTTCTTCAATTTGTTTCCCCTCAGATTCCAAAATGCTTCAATCTTGTAACAGCATCAAAGTTAATTTACATGACACGTTAAGGAACAAGGCCGGTTATGGCACAAATCGTAGCTACATCCTAGTCGCTTGTTTTCGAATGATACTTGGAAAGGAAAAAAAGTAGACGAGGTAGATTGCTGATCTATATAAGCCTAGAGTACACTAATGCAGCTTCTATTAACAACTCATTTTGAAGTACAAGGACACCAGAAACATGCTTTAAAAATGATGTTGTCCTCCCCCACTTTGATTCTTAGGTGAACAATCAAGGCCACTCAAATATGGAGATAAAAATCAGATTGTGCTTTGTTTACGAAATAAGTTGCAAGAGGAATATATTCTTGGTGAATAAGGCAGTAATAGAACAGTATTAGACTCGTTCTTGCTAAGGTTGGTAATTGAAAGATAGTGAATTGAGAGTCATGATTTCACCAGAGGGGGACTAACCTTTTTGATGGAATTTTACTTAAGAACAGCCACGCATGCAGGGCAGTTTGTTTAGCCCATCTGAACATCTTTAAACTTAAAACAGTCTTGACTACTACCTCATGGAATGCAAAACAACTCGTCAAGATACAATGGAAGTACGTGGTGGAGGAATAGCCGGAAATGGTGGGATTGTTAGGCCATCTTCGCTACCCTCCAAGCAGGCCTCAGAGAAGATGGAATTCATGAAGGGAGTGCGTGGTTTCACTCCCCCCTTCTTGACGAAGACCTTTCAAATGGTGGAGGATACAGAGACAAACAACATGATTTCCTGGAATTCTGAAGGTACCAGCCTAATAGTCCTGGACCATCTCAAATTTGCTGCAGAGGTTCTACCAAAATATTTCAAGCACAGCAATTTCTCAAGCTTCATCTACCAACTCAACAACTATGTGAGTTTATGCATTTCAGATTATTGCATACCTTTTAGAGTAAATCCTTTTTCATAGCATGGATATCGTATTCTTTAGATAATTTTTTTATCATCATTAGAAAGTCTCTAAGAATTTGTTATGTCTATCACAACTCATGAACCTAGGTAAATGCCTTTTTCTTGTACTTATGCTTGCTACTTTTGCTCATGCTTTGTGTTTGCAGTTTGAATGTCAAATAAATTCCTCGTTGAGACTCGAATTCAACAGCAATTGGGATCCTCCCCACTAATTTCTGATTGTTTGCTTTCTAAACTTAACAGGGATTCAGGAAGATTGGACTGAGGCAATATGAATACGAGAA